AATTGAAGGAATTCAGGAAATTTTAGAAAAACCATGGACAACTACTACGAAAATCCATCTGCCTATGGTCAGCCCTGAAATCAGAAAAGCCGAGGGTCAAAACTGAACCCGCCTGCTATCCAAACCTCCCCCCCTCAACAGACAAGAAGCTTCTGCTAGGGTAACATGACACCACAACCTTCCCCAGTGTCGACCAACCTAGTTCTGACGGACAGGAAATGCCTTCCTCCCTCGACATCTCCCTTAGCCGCAAGCCCCTGACCCAGGTTACAGGGTAATACCCTGGCACCGGCTACGTCAGACGAACTGGTTATGCCTTCCACCCTCGGCATAACTCCACAGGCCTCAAGCTCCACCCAGGTCACACACCATCAACTCCAGCAGCGGCCTGTGTCGTCTCAGCGTTGTTCTTCTAATCTACTTACCTTAGCAAACAACCCCTCCCCTGTTGAAAGCCCCCTTACTACCTCCCACCCACCAGTTTTAAATCCCCCCCTTTCCCTGCCGGACTCCAACCATAGGCTAAAAAACAGCTAGTAATCAATTACTTCAAAAGACTGGGGAGAAAAGGATAATACCCCTCCTGCCTTTTAGAAACAAACATCCAGGATCCCACTCTCCCTCAATTCAACCCCCTGTTCCTCCCTGGCCCTGCTGCAAGGAGCCACCATCTCCCATCACTGGCCATCAGCCCCAGTTCGTAACAGCTCCCTTCGGACACCCCATGCTCCCTGAGTGATATACAGTTCCCCTTAAAGTATACCATTGTAGAGCCGAGGTTCCCCCCTCCCCCTGTCCCACCTCAAAGTAGCACAGCCCATCCTGCCTCTCCACCTGTTGAAACCAACACTAACTCACTGTCCTCCCCCCCACCCGCCATGGCTGACCAGACCAAATCATCCCAGCCCCTGGTGAGGACACACCCCCTCAACCGCCTCTCCCTCTCCACGAAGCTGCACCTCCCACCTTGCGCAGCCTCATCGGGAAAAGCTCCAAACCCTAGAGGGTGATCCTAGTGTCACCTCCCCTACCTTTCCCACCGTTCCCCCACCTTTTGGAGTAAAACCATGAGGCAATTAAATTAGAACTGAAGAGGAATTCGAAGTATCTTTCACAAAAAATCATCAGCGAAACTACCTTAGAGGGTTAGACTTAGTACTGAAAAGCAAAACAAGATTCAAAGATTAGAATGATTAGAAGAGGAAAGTTTCCACCAGCTAAGAAAACCGAATACGAAGCACTTCAGTTTTCAAGATCGGGAGACAGTTACGAAACTAGAGAAGATGCGAGAGTAAGCTGCAGAATCTCCAGATAAGAAGTTTGCAGATAGAGAGGCTTCAAGTACTCTCCTCTTCCTTCTTTCAGCCCTCTCTGCTGCCATTTGGAAAATGTGATGAGCGAACAGGGACACAAAAAGCTCTCCTGATGCATTCACAGTGGTAGGGGCACAAACATCTCCCAAATTGACTTAATTATTTCTCCGGATGGCATGCCCACTGTTTCTTTCTCTCTATTCCCCCCCCTCTTTCTCTCTTTATGATTTGCTTCGTTCAATTATCGTGTGCAGCCATCACCCCATGTACATTCCTCTTTTAGAAAATCAACAGCCTTTCTCCCCCTGCCTCCCCCTACTTTTGTTGTGTATGCCATATACGCCATCGTCTCTGTCACAATCACTACAATGATATGGTTTCGGCATCCATGTGTGTAGAGGACTGTCCCTCTGTTCCTGACTGTAGGGACACTCCGCATCCGAACACTATATGTCCATTTTGCGGCCATGGGCGCTATACTGAATGCATGATCTTTTGTGATGAGCGTTCGTCCTTCATTTTGGCCTGCAATCGACATGTCATTTGTCGAGAGTGTATGGTGGGCATGCTCAATGCCTGCCGAGGCTTCCGTCGTGGCAATTGTTTGCTGACAACGCTCAGCTAGGTCTTCCATGTGCCCATCCACCTCATCCTTACAATGTGTGTCCTCTCTGTCGTCAAGGACAGACTCATTCTCGAGCCTTTTCTTATCTTTACTTTCGCTTTTTCGTTCTTTGTTTGTTGTCTCTTCATCTCCCTTCCCTGTGTTTATTGCCTCCCCCTTCACTCGGCCTCTTTCTCACAGCGTACAAGTGGGCCGTTATGGGATTGCAGGCAGCTTGCACTCAACTTCATCAACGTGGCGATCCTTGTACGTGAAGGGGGAGTTAAAAGAAGAAGGAGAAAAACGAATGGTTTCAGTGTGCCCCTCATCTTTATCTTGTTTTTTAACTTTTTTTAACTTCTTTAATCTTTACTGTTTGTTTCACAAAGTGCGCTCTTTTAGTTCATAGTTCTGTGACAATATATATATCGTCAAATAGAACTGCCCGGTAAACCGTAGGCAGAGAGGGAGAAGAGGACAACAAACGAGGGGCTGTGACAAACTGTTTCGTCGGAGTTTCACCGACTCATCAGGAGGCTGAACCCTCAACAGTCTGT